TTTTTTAAATTTAATTTAAAACAAAAATTGACAATACCCTGGCAATTACTATTCTGCCCTTCAATCATATTTATTTAGTAGTAAAAGACTCTTTGTAAAAGACTCATTTACCCTTGGTTGTCCTTGGGCTTATCTTTCTAGAAAATTCCTCTTTAGTGTGTGGATGATGGATATTATTATTTAGTAGTAAAAGACTCTTTTACCCTTGGTCGTCCGGTCGTCTTCACTCTTCTATATAATACTAGATGAGTGTTGCCCGTGCTAAGCACAGGCCCAACGTTTAAAATTTTGTCATAATTTTACTTATGTTTGATTTACTATGAAATATATTTGAAATCCAACATGGTAAAAAATATTTTTAAATAACTATAATTTCAAAAAATACAATGTCTATAATTTTAGTAACGAATCACATTTCTTAATCTACACGATAAAAGAATCCACATGTAATAAGATACAAGCGAGAGGCACTATTATTTTTCTTTCAAGTTTCAACAATTAGTTCAATATTAAGTTGGGCAAACATTCACAATTTAGTATCCTTATTCAAAGTTTATCAAAATATACATAATAAGAAGGCAATCGATTATTATTACATAGATACTGAATGCACGAAAGAAAATCTACTTGTAAAGCACAGTTTGTCGTTATTGTTTAAAAATTAAATGAATAAAATTTTTTTAACAGAAACAACTTTCTATAATTAATTTTACACAGGCAGAATAGGTATGATAAAATCAATAATGTAGAGTTTAGAAAGAAGAAAAAAAACAAGAAAACTAAAAAACTTTTAGAACAGGTTCCAAATTTACGAGGGGAGTCTAGAAATGAAAGCGAAAGAACAAGCTGCTTAAATACACTTTTTTCACAGGATAGGTACATGTTATAAATGGCAAAAAGGGACTTCTGAGAGAAGAATAAAAACATCAGCTTGGGAATTGAGACATAAAAATTCAAATAAATGGTTGATGTTGTTAAATGACATAATAAGAGTATGTTGTGTAAAAGTTAACAAATCATTGCATTAGTTATGCTGCTTTACAGCCATATGTATCTTTTACAAATGTCATATCTAATAGACTTAAAACACATGAAACTTCAAAAGTGTAATTATATAACTAATTTCTCCCATTACAGAAACAACTTTATTACAGACATGTGTCTTCGAAATACTCTTCAATTGTTAATATTTGCCATGCTATGTTCATACGAATACATGTTAGGCAAAAAACATTGTGGCCACTTTCCCTGTACATTCCAGAAAAGTAGTGGCAGGAGTAACAAGATAGTCCCAATATATAATTTATAATGGATCTAAAATATATTTCAATCAGAAAAATTAGTAATTTAAACACATAATAGCTGCCAAATTTGTTCATTATATATTCATGTGAATGTCATACTAGTGAATGTTAAAGTGAGATATTTACATAGTTTTAATATTTTCATATGTGGGAGTGCTAATTACATACATTTACGTACTATTTTAAATTAGACAAAAGTAGATGCATCTTTCATGCTTGGATCTTTTGAACCATTTTTTAAAATCAAAATCACCTGTTACATTAAAATTGAGGGATTAAATGTCAGCACAGAATCACATAGTTTATACAACACATGATATATCTGTTAGCAAGTCTAGAATTTATAAATAATTTAATCCAACTCTGACAATATAGGCAGTAAAAACAACATCAAACAATGTAACGGTAATAACAGAAGCATTATAAACCACATGGCCAAGACATTTAACTCTCAACAAACTCGCATATTCTTTCTTTCCCAACAACAACATAAGAAATGTTGTTGTTATCCTTTTTGTAGTAGATAAGCTGACAATAGAAACAATGATAATTTACGTAAAGATGATTTTTATTGAACGTAACTTGAAAGTAAATGACACGTTGCTTACTTGTAAAAATAAATCAGTGAGGCCACCAAGAACTACGAATTCAACAAAACTATTGTTTTTACTTCTTAATGACTGATCAACACCACTCCAATATTATTGTAAGGGAAACTTCATTGATGGAAAAAGATTTATTTAAGTGGTTGATTTAATTACCATTACTCGAAAGAGCTGTCATACTGCATTGATATATACAAGCTGCAACAGTAACTAACATGAAGAGCAAATTTAAACATTGATAAATTTGACTTCCTTAATTTTAAGCTGTCAACCACATATATGCCTATTATTTGACTTGTGTAGGATCAGTTGGCAAAAGTATATGGGTCACAAAATTTATAAAATGGTGGAGATACAACAGACACTGATTGGCTGAAGTTGAGAAAGGCACAGTTTTGAGCTAGCGCTTGATTTTGACTCTTTAAAGGAAGAATCGAAAGTTTTCTCCTATGATCAATGTAAGCCATAAGGAAAAACTCAAACAAATCAACAAGGAGAAATCA